AGAATATATTTTATTTTTAATTAAAATAAATTTTATCAATAACTTTTTTTAATGTAAGTAATTGTTTGTAAATGTAAGTAATTTTTTTGGTATATTTGTTTATTTTTATCGATCTAAGTACTGTTTTGGTTCAAAAAATGTTTAGGGACTTAATCGTTCAAAATATGAAAGTCGATTGACTTTTTTTCAAACTTTTTTTCATTATTTTACCACATTAACCATTTGTATAGGTTATTAGAATGTATCTAACAAGTTTTTAGAAAGTCCAGTGAGTTATTTAACATGTTTTGAAATGTCCAATGACTTATTTGTTCCAAAAAATTGTTCAATGACTTAATCATTCCAAACATTAAAGTTCATTGGGTTTTTTTTTAAGACTTTTTCCTTGTTTTAATTTAACATAACTTTTACATTTCAAGAAATAACTTTGTTTTGATTAATATTAAGGACTAAATTCATCCAGGTCTCTTTAATCCCGCTTGATTTCTTATCCATGTTCCGTAAATTTTGTACGTAGACAGTTAGTTGTTCTGACTAGTTCTTTAGTGCAAAGAAGGACCGTAAGCTTAGCGGGTAAAAGAGATCCGTTAGATAGCACACAAAAGAAGGGCTACATCTGAGTTAAACTTTGCGAACCCCGGTTAGATTTAGGCATGCTACACTTTTTAGTTATTGGCATCATCTTACTGGCCGACCTTGACCAATGTTATTTTAAGCCGTCTGACTTGAACCTACGCGTCGATGACTTTGTTTTTAATATTATTAATAAATAAATATTTAGATACAAAATTATTGTAAAGGGAAGCACCTTGCTATCATGAAAACTCCAGCTGTTAGTAACTACCATCAAAGGATTCTGAGGTAGGGGATGACTTGTAATTAATCTGGCTGTTCGGGTCAAAGGGGAGGGCCTCATCGAAATCATCGGCTTTCTGCCTAACGCCACATTCGACCCTTTGTCCCGGCCACTATAGCACATATGTCGCCCAAGTTTGTTTATCCCAACGATTATTAACCGACATTATTTACTTTAATTATTTACTTTAAAGACTTAAAAATTAAAAACTAGAACGAAAAAATCAACATATTGATATGAAATATATAAATCTAAAATTTATACGTAACAGCGGTGTAAATGGATGGGTCAAGGGTTGAATAGTAAACAAACAGTACCTTAAAAAAAAGGGAGGATGGGGTACCCCACGTGATATGTTTAGATCATGGTACCCTACTTTTTAATATTGTACCCGCACGTGAGTTGTTTTCCGGAGGGAGCGGCGCCGACGAAAAACCCTATCCATTCTTACTGGCTGGAGAAGGTCCGGCCCGATCTTTTGTATTATATGGATTGTTCTCATAATCTATTTGGGCTCATTTATGACTCTGGGCCCGTTAACTCAATTATTATAACCTCCTGGCCCATGGCCTACCTAATCAATTGGTCTTTCCATTATTATTCTACACCATTCAATAAATTATAAATCCACCATTTTCTTTTTCTTTTATATATATATATATATATATATATATATATATCGTAAAATAAAATTGATCGCGATAATCACCGACTCGCTTTCGTATAAAATGCATTATTAATGATATCAGTTAGGGTGCGTTTGGTGCGCAGACAAGACAGGACAGGACAGGACAGAACAGGACATGACATGACAGCTGTTCAGCGTTTGGTAAGACATGACAGGACAGAACAGAACTGGTTAAAATGACCAATTTACCCCCAATTTATCCCCAGGACAGAACTCGTTCTCTTCTCTGCTCTATTTTCTACAGATTAACAATGGTAATGTTGCCATTGTTACAAGTGATCCCAAACCAAGTCGATGAACGATTTCGCAAACCAATTTGGGGGAATAATCCCAAACCAATCTGCACATCGATTTCGCAATCCATCTTTCAAGATTCATCAAAGACACATGAACAAGACCATGAACGATTCAAGATTCATCAACGATTCAAGATTCAACAATGAACAGTCGAAGAGCTTGGTTTGCTACCACAAACAATGAACAGTCGAGAAGAGTCGACAGAAAAACTAGGTCACAGAGCTTGGTTCGGCCACCTCGGAATCTCAGTCGAGAACAGTCGAGAAGAGAAGGCGATAATGCGTACCTGAGTATGGAGAGAAGAGAAGCAACAGTCGGTCGCCGGCAAGCAACAGTCGGTTGGAACTCGCCGTCTCGATGAGATGGTCGCCGTCGATTGGAACTCGCCGGCAAGCAACAGTCGGAACTCGCCGTCGAGATGAGATGAACGGAGCCGGTGGCCGATTGATGAAGGAGAGGTAGGGTGGGATGGAATGGAGGACCTGCGGGAAGGCGGGGAAGGACGCATGTGAGGGTAGATTAGTAAAAAAAACCTTGTTCTACTTAGTTCTAGGGGGTAAGGGTGGACACCCGTGTCCCATTCTTGTTCAAGTTAGTTCTAGTTAGTTCTACTTAATAACACACCAAACATGGGACAAGTGTGTCCTGTCTCGTCCTGTCCCGTCCTGTCTCATCCTGTTCCACGCACCAAACGCACCCTTAGGGTATTTGTCGTGCGGTTTGGTATGGTTTTAGATTAAACTGCAAATCGTACTGCATATACAGTTCTTACTTTTTTCTCAAAACCGTAAACCACACTACATAAACCTCAAACGCAAGATATAATGTGGTGCAGTTTATACTGTTTGTACCTATCGTATTTCATGTCTACAATAATTATTAGTTTGAAAATAAAGTATAATATCAACAATAACATGATCATAGTCCAAAAAAATAGATTTTCAATATATTTGATTCCCAAATATATATTATATAATAAAAAATAGTATAAGAAATAAAAATATATACTTCAAACTCAAAACCCAATTTTTTTATAAATTAATAATCTCTCTCTCTCTCTCTATATATATATATATAATATATATATATATATATAATATATATGTTAACCACAAAGGTGTTGCCTGATTGGTTTAAGTTTGGCTCCAAAGATCAAAAGTACCTGGAGGTCCCAGATTCAAATCCAAAGAGAATAAAAATCCCCTTGTGGCTACGGAGGTTCAAATGCAGTGACTCCGGACTATCTGCAAAGTAGGTGGTCGCCCTGGGATCAGTCGGCTCGCATAGCGGATTAGATATCCAGGTTAATCAAAACTGAAAACTGCATCATAGATGTTCTAAACCACACTCTTTAGTGCTGAATGATATGGTATGGGAGGTTTGTATACATTTTTATGATTTAAAATGAAAACGAATTTATAATCCATAAAAGATGATACAACAGAGACAAAAGAGTACCATTGGATTCCTTTGGTCATACCCACCATCCAAATCAAGTGTCTTGAACTCATCTAATGAGATGCATGCACTTCTCTTTATTTTTCTTTACTTGTGATGATTACGGTTTCCATATCCAGATGGTTTTTTCAAGCAAACGATATCAACGTGATGCTAATAGAATCGAACAATGAAGAGCCGATATTCTATCATGTTCAAATCTTACATGTACTGTTGACATTTTCGAAAGTCATAATTACATATTGAAGTCTGAAACTGGTTTACCAGACATGGTGTACGGTTTACAGATCTCTATAGATCAGACATATTTCAATAATGCACGTATAAAAAAAAGTAAAAGCAAACACATTAGACTCGGTTAAAACGTGACAAAAACCCGATTAAATTTTAAATAAAAATTATAATTTAATTTAAATAAATATGAAAAAAAGAAAAGAAAATGTAGAAGATAAAAAAGGGAGTTTGAATGGACCAACCCGAACTCAATGGAAGGTGCCTGCGTAAGAACAGTGGAAGATTCTCTTCCAGCTGGATATTCATCTCCAAAGACCAACAACCACATTTATTTCTAATTTTATTTTTTTTAATTCCTATTTTATTTTTTTTATTTTTTATTTTCGTTTATAAAATCGGTAAATAATTCGTAAAAATACGAACAACATCGATATATGGGTGACATCAAAATTGGATACGGGATTATTAGAAATATAACGATAAAAAGACAGATTTTCTTGGATCATTTTATTTTACATCAGACGTATATAAATTATTAAAAATTAATAAAACCTGCATTTCAAATCAACCATCTGAAATGAAATTCCAAGTCTTGTTATGATTACGAATGAAATTCCAAGTCTTGTTATGATAGCGACTGCACATATAACGTACTATAAATTATTTATTGTAAATAGTAATAATATTGATTGATAAGTACATATATTCAAAATAATTAATATAGTAAAAAATTACATTCATTTAAGAGAAAAATGCGTTTACTTCCTAATTCCAGTTATTTCCGGACCCAACTAAAAGGCAAAAAAAAAAAAAACTATCATATTTGGCTCAAGTCCGCAATTGTGACGATAAGGTCTACAATTTCATTTTCTTTTGTCTTTTAGCTTGGTCTGCAAATGGGGTACATGAGACTTGCAAACACAATAATATTTGGATAAATCAGGGAGAGAAATGGGTAGAAGACCAATTTATATAAGAGGAATGACTATTCTGATCAATTTCCATTTTCCTTTTCCAATAAACCCTCAATACCATACATACATACATACATACATACATACATACATACATACATACATACATACATACATACATACATACATACATACATATATTCACGTACAAATCATACAGGTTCAAAAATCGTTTACTTACATTTTTCTGACGTTAATGTAAAATCACATGTGATTTTGTATATTAACGGCATTTTTCTTGTTTTTTTAAATAGTCAGCGTTCTCGTTTAAACATCCCCCCTCTCTCCCTATATATATATATATATTCCAAATAATTAGAAAATAAAACCATTTTTCATAGTCTATATCTATATATAGCATTTAATTTAAAACTATTATTTAAATTATTAATTAATTTATATTAAACATGATTATTTTATTTGTTAACAACTAACTTATTAGCCAATAACTATTTTACCAAACATATTATCAACAATTATAAATTGGTTTCATATTTTTGTTTAAACTTCCGCCCATTCTCTACACTTAAAAGCTGCATAAAAGAATAACAGAAATCTGGATCTTACCAGTATCATCAGTATTTTGTAGAAACCAACCTTCAAAAGATCTAGGGTTCAAGTCTTTCAACAAGGAGAATATATGTACACAAGTGTACTCCAACGTACATATGCACGTAGATGAAATGCAAATATACATACGTATATGAACCGTAATTGTCGACTTTCCATCGTGGGCAGGTCCGATAAGAACCTTATCGTGTTTTATAATTATCCGAAAATAGTAAATTCTTATTTACTTGATTAAGAATTAACATTCATTTAAGTAAGGTGTGTACTTGACAAAGGTGAAGATGGAGTAGGTGTAAAAAGGGAAATTCACTTTAATAATTTAATCTTTTCAAAAATCATAAATTCAATTTAATTGAAAAAACCTAATGTATTATCTAATAAATATATTAATAAATGGATACAGAAAATAATTCTAATTTTACTAAATCAAAAAAACCCTACAAAGATACCGAATAAATTAGTAAATAAGAATGTTAAGATGACTAAAGAGCCTTTGGTCCAGCGGTATGTAAGTTATTTATTTCTTAGGAGATCAAGAGTTCAAACCTCACCAAATATGAGGAAGGCCGAAGGTGTGTGAATTTATTTATTCTATTTTACCAGTATATACTTCAAATTACGGAATTACCCTTAATTTTTCTTGCATATATATGAGCTCCCATTAGGGGTGAGCATAGACGGGTACCCGCCCTTTTTGACTGGAACCGGAACCGGTTAGAGTAGTTTCTTGAATTTTTGAACCAGAACCGAAACTGCCGGGAACCGGTTCCGGGTACCCGCTTCCTAAAATATTAAAATTTTGTTATTTAGCAATAAAAAATAAAACATTGCCAAAACACTAAATAAATAAACAAGAATACAAATTATACAAAATAATGGTTACAAATATTTTTTAACGATTACAAACCATAATAGACTAATAGAAAATGTTCAAAGTTTAACGATTACATACTATAATGGTAAATGTTCAAAGTTTAACGATTACATACTATAATGGTAAATGTTCAAAGTTTAACGATTACATACTATGAATCCAATTGAACACACAATTTAAAAAAATACGAATCATTTTATATGAAGAATTTAGATGACGGCGTGCTTTCAAGATGTAAATCTAATATAAATTTGATATTAAAAAATTATTATTATTTTCTTATTGGAAAATACCGGGTACCCACCGATTCCAGGTACCCGGTCCCGATGGGTAAATGTTCCGAAAAATTGAGAACCGGAACCATTCTCAACCGGTTCCGTATTTTAGGAACGAAACCATTTATATCGGTTCCGTTTCCAGAACCGATGGTTCCAAGACGGTTCCGGTTCCATAATCGATACCCGATTCCGCTGCTCACCCCTAGCTCCTATAGACATCCTATAGACATGGGAACCAGTTGTGTGGGATTATACGTATCGAAAATCTCAACAAACCAATCAGTACAACAATCTACACCCATGCATTACGTACTACTCTCTGAGTCATGACTCAATCTCGAATCAATCTCCATGTACATCTCTTTCTCTTTATATGGATATATTGGATAAAAACACACACTTACACCTTCCCACTATGTGTGTATATATATGTATATATATACACACACACGTTCACATTGTCCTTTTATTTGGCTACATGCAATGCATACAGCTGTAATGAAAACGAAGTTTAAATGCAAGCATTAACTTTGCAAGTAATCAGCAGCTAACTGTTCATTAAATCTGTTAAATAATTACACAAATTCAAACATAAATTCAAGAAAATTCAATGTGTATTCAAGATTCTTAATTACACGTAGGGTTTCATAATACATTTTTATACCCTTTTGAATCAAGAAAAAGAAAACCCACGATGGCAATAAAATTTTAAAAACCCAAAAAACCCCTTTTACCCTTTTTTTTGTTTTGTGAAAAGACATATATACCCTTCAATTCTTCTTTATTGTTGTTCATCTTTTCCTTCTAATTAACGTAACGTGTCCACCAAACAATGACACATTTATTCTTGCCATTCAAGCAATCTCCTATTATCTCGAATCAATCTCTACGAAAGTTCAAATGCGGTAATTCCAGGCTACTTGTAAAGTGGATGGTTATCGTTAGATTAACCGGCTCATATAACGGATTAAATATCCAAGTTAATAAGAAAACGGTTGCAAAGAACATTACTCTGTAAACAGGATAAAAATCCCACATCAACATAAAAACCAACCTTTTATATTCCCGATATATGACTTGACTTGATTCTAACATTAAAGATGTACAAATAACATTACTCTATAAATATCAGCTCTAACGTTATTTGCACATTTTCTTATATCAGATTCAAGTCAATTCATACATTGATAATGTAAAAAGTAGGTCATAATGTTGTTATATTCAAGAAACTTTTTATTATTGTATACGTATTTAACAATATACAGAGATGCATTTATCTTGTCCCTTTAAAAATTATAAATATCAAAACTTGTGAAAATATAACAAAATTTATAAAAAAAGGTTTGATTTTTGTGATTTTTTAATGATTTTGAGAGTAATATGGATTATGAACAACCCACTTTAGGGGTAAAATTGGAAGGAACCCCCAAAAATGGAAATACGTAACATGGCAAAAGAGAAAAAAAGAAAAGAAAAGTAAACTCCCGAATTTGAACTGCCCCATGATTAAAGCAATCCATACATCTCGCTAAAACTACCACCCTTAATTCTTACAATATTTACAAATTTGCCACTCATTTTCACAATTATTCCGGTATGGCACTCAACATTGCCGTAAAATTCCGTCTCTTTCCACTACCGCCGCCGCCGGCGGATGCGGCGCCTCTCCTCCTGCTTCTTGTCTCAAAAACCCCAACATCCGCTACCCGACCGGAACTTTTCGCATGACATTTCTCACCTGAGGTAGTAAAAGAAAGGTTTTTCCTGCGACAACCCGCCAATGCGGAGCTGGCTTTCACGGCCAATGAAGCCATCTCCTCCGGCGAAAGCGGATGTCTCAACCGGCTCAATGGCAGCGCGAAATAAAGCTGACCAAGCTGAAGCTCGTCGTCGTCGCTGATAGCCGACACGACGTCGTCAAATTCCATCTCGTCGGAGTTACAAATGAAGGTGGCCGGATTCTTTTGTAAGACGTAAGAGACCTTCACCGGAGACGAGAATTCTTGTAGGGTTCCGTCGTGTGATATTAATTTGGCGGTGGCTATAGATGTGGAGTCGCATGAACTGCAAATCCCCATGGTGGTGGGTGGTGGTAGCGGTGGTGGATGGGGTGGAGTGGAGTGGAGTGGGGTGGAGGTGGTGGAAGGATGTATATATATATATAGAGTAGCAGTAGCCACCTTATTGGATGGCAAAATGGTAAATTGGCATAAGAAAAGTGGGACCAGGGCAAGCTGTAAGATGTGGATGACAGCGGAGGATATGTGTCCTTCAACAACGACCCATATGTTTCGATGAATTACCACTCATATTTTTGTCGTTTTCTGCCTATTAACCCTTTTGACCCATTCATATCATTTGGTTAACCAGTTTACTGTTGTAATTGCGGACCTAGTCGTCATAACCACAAATCTGATAAAGTAGTGACATTTAGGTCAACCTGAGAAAGAAATGGTTAGGAGGTCAGTTTGAATTAGGGAAATGGTTATTTAACACAAAGACTCTTTAAAACACCTACGATAAAGGAGATCAAGTCCTTTATAAGGTAACATTTGTTCCCCTCCCAATCAATGTGGAATCTTTATAGGTACTGAATCCTTATTTTAGTTAAAATTTATGTAAATGTCTTACGTATTTTCGTATTTTAAGATTAAAAAAATCTTTATGCAAATAGGAATCCTAAACACTAGCCCTACTTAGGGGCTGTTTACCAAAACTTACCCGATAAGTGCTTACCGGTAAAATTCATGCTATTACTTACTTATCGGGTAAGATTTACTCCACGAAGACAACACCGTATGCAATAATCTACCCGATAAGCTCTTACCGTGGTAAGAATCGTCGTCTTCACTTACCAGGTAAGACTCTTGTTCCTTGTCTCGCTCTTACCGGATAAGATTTTTTGTCTTTGTCATATTCATCCGGTAAGGTAATGTGACTTGGTAAACGCTTACCTGGGTAAGCGTTTGATAAACGGCCCCTTAGTTCATAATGAGAAGATTTTGTCGAGGGCCATGCGGATCCTTAGACATAACTTCCCCCGGGTTTTGGCCCGAGCTGTATGAGGCAAAAACTCTTAATAATTTTCTTACTCAAATTACATAAATTGGCATAATTTTTTTTAATCTAAAAATAGGTTTTATACAATTGTCCAAGACATTTGTGTAAGCTCTGACTTGAACTAAAATGACTATAAAATGAATATGGTTCGGGATTGACAATTTTGGTCAATTTCTTCATTGTTATGCATGTTAATTAAAGGGTTTTTCTAACCCCACCCCCTCCTATGGGTGCATGTGAGGGGGGTGAGATTGTGTAAGGGGTGAGTATGTGAGGGTGAGAGTGAGGAAAAGTTGTGAGGGTGAGAGTGAGGGTTGGTGTGAGGAGGAGGGGGTGAAAAGTGATGTAGGGGGTGGGGATATCAACCCCCTAACTAAATCACCATCTTTCATTCTAAAGATAGATTAAATGCACATTTATATATTGTTAAATCCACTCTTAGGGTTGGGTTCACGTGAGACAAATATGTTTTTGTAAGACCCATGAGACCACATTTTTACACTTGAAACTTCATAGCAAAACATTGTAAAAATAAAAATAAAAATCTGAACCTTCGCAGCAAAAACATTGTGAAGGTTACATTTGCAATATTTTACTGTGAAGTTTCAAGTGTAAAAAGATGGTTTCATGAAAACAGACTGGTCTCACATGATCCCAAGTCTCCACTCCTATCTACTAATTTTCTTTTCACATATATCAATAATAAAACTTAATTTTTACATTTTTAATATATGATAAAATGATTCTGACATAAATAGGGGTGTATACAATAACCCTCTTTAATCCTGTAAAAATATATCGTTAACGGAGTTTAGACATGCACATTTTCCCTTAATGTCATTATGGCTAAAGGGTACAGATTGCTCTATATTGATTCTGATATCATATAATAATATATGATTTTATTAGACCAAAAGAATCCTTAAAAAAGATCCCTACATATCTCGAGAATAAATGATTCAAATCTGTCCAATGTAGCACTCTAATAAATACTGATTAAATCACAAAATTTGGTTAAATGAACAACATTTTCTCAAACAGGTAGCCAAATCGACTGATTCACTTTCAAAACTTGCTAATCAGTTATCCAATCAACGCATATGTGCTTTTTGAAACAAATTATTGCAATAAACACGTTATGAATACGTTCCTGCCTCCATATTAACCTTTAAACCTCGGGACCCGACTTGACGGGACTATACACTTTTCGTTCTTTGCAACCACATTATACAACCATGATTATGTCGGTTAAGAACCACAACTTTTTTTAGTAATCATCCAGCTATAATTTAATCAAAATGTTTAAAAAATTTAAAAATTGATCTATTAAATTACAATATTATTGAATCAAATAAGAGAATGTTTGGTTATATGTACTAAACAGTAATCAATGAAAATAAAAAAATAAAAAAACTATTTGCTTTTATATAATAAATCAAATCTATTCTTCCTGAAGCCCAAAATTTCATTTCTGGTTAAACTGTGGGAATAACTTTTACGGTAACAAAATTATGTAAATGTTTTTGAGAAATCTTTTAGATTAAGAAATGACTTTTTGGTAAAAGAGAATATAAAAGGAGACTAGAAACTAAGGGCTCGAGGCAAAAGTTCACTTTTTATTATTTATTAATTATTAATTTTTGTAACCACATTATTTGATGCAACTTTATTTTGTTGGATCTTATAATTGTATCATTTTATTACAATTTTTATTCCAAATGTCAACTTTTTTAAAACTTGGACCACTTTCCTCCATATCATTTTTTATATTTTATTTTATTTCATTTTTATTTTATTTAAATATAATATTCTAAAATAAATTGTATTATCTCTCGTATTTCGTATTTGAATAAATAAACCAGTTGTGTCACACTGGTTAAGTCTCAAAGGATATAAAAAGAAAATATGGTTATCATGGGTTTGAATTCAGACGATGAATTTAAACCTATTTTGAATCCAGACTGTAATCAATACGTATAAGCTGATATAAAAACCCATTTTAAATAAATTAAATTAATAAAAAGAAATTAATATAATGAATAAAAAAAATAAAAATGGAATTATTTGAGAGTGAGTGGGTGGAAAGGGGAAAGGAGATTTCCTCTCTTGTTTCCCAATTAAAATTAAAATAAAAAATGGAAATTTAATTAAAAAGAAATGGGTGTTAGGATGTTAACGTGGCGTTAGAAGGTGGAATGATAAGCCACGGTGACATGCCAGAAAATGGCCACGTGGCGCAACACATCTTCCATCAATGCCAAGTGGCAGTGCGCACTACACAATCGCAATGCCCTGCGCATTTGCCATCGCAAACTGGTGGCAGCCGCCTTTCCCACGCCCCTTTGTTCGTTAAAATACGTGACACAAAATCATCGGATTCCATTGTAATATGTTGTATCAAAAATTAAATGTTTATGTTTTAGGCTATGTCTGAACTAATTGTTGGAAAATAAGACGGTAAGAATTCAGTTGTAATATATTCAATGACCACAACTGTTGTGTACGTCGATAATTTAACCTGGGTAGATGGACTATCATTTATGTTATCGGAAAATTTTTATGTCTATCAAAAAACATTGGGTAAGAATCGTCATTCTCACTTACCTGATAAGATTCTCGGTCATTACAATAGCTTCCACAAGGTAAAAGTTTTGGTCCTTGTCATGTTAATCTGGTATTGTAATGTGACATTGGTTTTAGTTATATGCGTACACAACAATTGTGACCACTGAGCTTATCAGGGTTGATATTTTACAGTAGCAATTTTCTGGAATTAGTCCGTGATAGCCAAGGACACTATACTAAAAGAAGTAACATGGTTTGATAAACACTTACCAGATAAACATTCTATAAACATCCTCTTGGTTAGATTTATCATTCGTTGAATAATGATCCAAAATTCAATATAACCGAACGTATATAAACATGACTAAAAATCGGGTGCTATATGGTCTCGATTATAACCAGGTTTGGTTATAAAAATGTTAGTAAGCGGTGACTGTAGTTATGGTCCCGAAATAAAATAATTCGATTATAACAATGTAACTGTTTATAGAAAATTGTCCCTGGTTAGATGTACCATAAACGGTTTTGTAACTAACCCTTTTTTTTAAACGACTGTTAATTCCAGATAGCTATACCAGAACCAAATGCAAACAACAGAGATGTGAATGTATTATTGAAGTCGAAGGATGAGAACCGAAGTTCTATCAAACTCACAGGGATAAAAAGGTAATTCATTTAATTACATCAAAATAATATCCATATATATCAGTATAAATCTTCTAAAGTACCTTCTTTTTATATTATAGTTTGCAATTTATTGTTAGTTTCGTCCTTATAATTTACAATCTATGGTTTAAGTTTCATTATTATGGCTTCATTATGACATCAAGATTTGGTTCCGTCACGTAAAATCCTGTAAATCCATTTTAAGGTTTGACTTGCATTGTAACGCGTTATGACATGTTACAACGCGTTACTTTGCAAGGTGTATGTTTTTTCTTATTATACAACTTTGAGGGAGATAAATGACGATAATGAACGAGACGTAAAATGAACATAAAAAAAACTTAAAAACTAAAATCCTAAATAGGTAAATATTTACTCCCGTTCATATACACGAAAAGTCGAACACAAATTTTTTGAAAACTGAAGAAAGTAGTGAGTGGTAGAGATTTAATTCCGATTTTATACTCTTGATATCATTCTTCATAAGAATTATATATTTGGTATCAAATGGTTATTCTTTCTTTTTTAGTTTTATTACTTTATATGAATTTAATTTGTGCTACAGTATTATTCAAAAACACTATATATATATATATATGTGTGTGTGTGTGTACATGTCTTCTTAGAGCACGTCTTGAAAAACAACATGGTCTCGCCATAACTCATAAGGCTCGAGGCTTAACCTCGTCACGCAAATACAGACCTGGAAATTTTTTTCAAGTGGTGACACCATTTGACTATAAGAAACAAATACATGTATATTTTTCACAAAATTATTGTTTATTGTTTTTCATAAGTAAGGTACTAGGTTCAAGTCCTT